TTTTCTGTTTTAGTTACTTGAATTATTTGATAGCGAAGATCCACGTGAACGAGATTTTTTAAAAACAATTCTTCATCGTATTTATGGAAAATTTCTTGGTTTAAGAGCATTTATTCGAAAACAAATAAATAATATCTTTCTCAGGTATGAAAATTTTAAATAAAAGATACGTTGAATTTTTATTATTAGATAAGATTAAAGTTAATATAAAGTGTTTTGATATAGAAAAGAAAAATTTATTTTTAGAAATTCAATTTTATTTAATAAATTGTGCTGATCTGAGATTTTTTTATTTTTAATAATTCAAATATTCGGAACTGAGGTATTGAAAAGTCAATTTGACTTTTGAATGTTTTAGTTTTGATAGATAAAATAGTTGTTTTGTATTGACTAACGTTCATAATAAAATAATATAATTTCAATAATAAAAACTTACAGAAACGATTGTAACCAAAACAGGAAATTCCTTGTAATGTCTATTAATGTACGAGTCAATGCGTTCGGCTTATACGTTTTTCTGTAGGGTACAACGAGTAGCATTGTATACAATCTCGATTTCCATTAAAAACTCAAAGTTTTTTATTTCATTTCCGGTAGCTTTAGTTTTTATATCACTAGTTGTTAAAGCTTATATTGAGCTATCTATTCACTCTAAAAGTCATCATTATATACACAATTTCTATCTATTAATGTATTCCATTTGTTTTTAAAGGTACATTTATGAGCATGAACGATTTAATGGCATTGCTGAACTACTTGAAATACTTGGAAGGTATATTTCTTTTTGTTCTTAAAGTTTATTGAAAATATTATCTTATATATATCTAGTATTATTAATGGTTTTGCTGTACCACTTAAAGAAGAACACAAAGTATTTCTTGGACGTGTGCTTATACCGTTACATAAAGCTCATTCATTAAATTTATTTCATCCACAAGTAAATTAAAATAACTAATAATTATTATTTCCTTATTTATTTTCTAGTTAACTTATTGTGTTGTACAATTTATTGAAAAAGATCCATCACTTGGTGAACCAATTATAAAAGGTTTACTTAAATTTTGGCCCAAAACATGCTCAACAAAAGAAGTATAAATAATCTTATTTTAATAATTTGTTTGTTTTTCTAAATTATCAATAAATTTAGGTTTTATTTCTCAATGAACTTGAAGAAATTCTCGATATAATCGATGGACAAATATTTAAAAATGTTTGTACATCACTTTTTAAACAAATTTCACGTTCTGCAACATCATCACATTTTCAAGTATGATTATTAATATTCTTATTTTTTATATACAAATCAAATATTGATTTAATTAAATACAGAAAGAGTATAAATCTAGAATTTAATAAGTTTTACATTGAATTTTTTTTTGTCCGAAATAATAAATAAAACATAAAAAGATCTATGAAGTATTCTCGTTGTTTTTCTTTGATCTCTCTTATGTCATCAACATTTACTTAAAGTCAAAGTATATGTTCACATTTGAAATGACAGTTTTGACATCTTCTTTCATCAAGAAAGAAAATCCATTGACAATCCTTTTGTTCATTATCATAAGAACAAAAAAAGAAAGAAAGAGAAACAATAACGTCATCTTTACAATCTGTCTCATTGTAATAAATATGATCTTTTTATCAGTAATATAATTCATTCAATGATAATTATATACTCTTATTCAACCTTAAATTTTGTACTTGGTTATTTTAAGTACAATATATTCAATAAGTAGATATTGTACTCTTAGTTATTTCGGATGAAGTCTAACAAAGAGAAACACTAATGTATTACAAACAAATTTTGATATTTTTAACATTACATTTGTTATAGTTCTCTATTCATTTTGTTTTTCATTTATATTCATATCAACTTTAAGACATAACAGATTAGTTTCTTTTTTTCGGTTGAGAAATCGATGTATGGATATGACACAAGTAATTCTGTATCTATGTTTTACCATAAAATATTCACCCATTTTTTTGGCCACTTAAAAATAACTAGTTAGAATCAAAATTTTTCGATATTGCAAAGAAATCTAATATTGTGTTAGTACAAAGAAAAAGTAGAGGTTTTAGTGCACTTCGTTGTTTGTGTCTTGGAATAACTCTAACTTAACATTATTATACAGCACTGAATTCTCTACAAAATGAAATATCATAATAAGCAAAATCTATGCGCTTCTAGTAAAGAGCTAGCTCATATAGAAATCAGTTTTAGTAAAAAACAAAAATCGCTGGTTCAAAAGTTACTTTTAAAAATAAAAAAATTTCTGTTTTGTATTTTGAAATTTATAGATTACAAATACAGATGTGTAGGACCAAGGTTTTTTTTGGTCCCAATCATGGCCTCAATAAATCTGATCTAGTCCATAAATGTTGATCGAATCCCGCTTATTTGTATTACAACTAAAGAAATTCATCTACATTCGTCTTTTTGATTAATATAGTCGACGATTAGCACTTAAAATATATTCTCATTGATGATTTTATAGGATAATTCGCTTATAACTAGAATACCTAACTATAATATGTAGTTCTGGTGTAGAGAATTTTTTTCATGGTAGTCCCGGTCACAGTAGTTTCTCTTCCCTCAGATTAGATAAGTACGAAAAAAAAAGAGGAGTGAATATTTTGTGGTAAGACTTTCATGATTTGTAACTATGAATTAAACAGATGATTTCGATTTCTTTTATTGATTTTCTAGGTAGCTGAAAGATCACTAGCTTTATGGTCAAATGAATATGTTGTGCAATTAATTGAAGAAAATTTAGAACAAATTTTACCAATTCTTCTTCCACCATTATGTCGAATATCTAAAACACATTGGAATACAAATATAATAACATTAACATATAATTTATTAAAAAATTTAATGGATATTAATAAAAAATTATGTGATGATGTATTAAATACATTACGAGATGATGAACAAAAGTAAATTGAATTTACCAAAAGCAAAACAAAAACAAAAAGAAAATTCCTTATTTATTTTTGAATAAAATAGGTCTATGATTAAAGAACAAGATCGAATAAATTTTTGGAAACAACTCGAACAACCGAGTTTCGACAAACAAAATGAATGATTTTTTTTCAAATATGCATGTTTTACTTGCTGTGCGTTTGTTTGTAGTCCTTAATTTTTTTCCTGACTAAAACAATGCAAAAGTGTACCTTCTCTTTTTTTCCTTGTTGATCATGACGATCTTTTTTTTTTTTTCTTTTTCTTCTCTCTTCTTTTTACTCTTGTTTTTCTTTTTTCTTTTCTAAAAGCTTGACCTATTTGACACATTATACACTTGTTATTACTTGCAGAATGGATTTTGATAAAAAAAAAAAAAACAGCAAAGAAAATATCCAAGAGTCATAACATTTATTGTACAAAACGATTTAGTCATAGACTGTTTTTTATAAACGATAAGAACAACAAAGAAAACAAAATAAACTTTTATTATATTGATTAATTTCTTTGTTTTTTTTTTCTATAAAGAAACATAATAGAAGTTGAACTATGGTTATGGGTTTTTTGAGCGTGCGTCGGATATTAAGATAAAAGATCTACCTGTACACCCTTGTCTCGATATTTTGAATTCTGAAAGTACATGAGTATACACTTGGATGTCTATCTCGTTATATCATATTCGGCCAAAATCGTTAATTTAGCGGCTTACGGATACTGTGAATATTCTAATAGCTATTTTATTAAGGGTACCCCCCCCCCCTCTTTTTTGACACTTTCTGATTCTCGAAGACGGTACGACCGATCAAGCTCAAATTTTCAGCACAGATAGAGCATCAAAAATAACNAAACATGATTCAATATCCATTCAAAGTATGACCTCGGTGGGCGCTAGTTTGAAGAGAACTTGAATACCAACACGTAAGTCTTGTCCCGTTTACATTTTTTCTACGCTGTTTCTATATTTGTTTTTAGGAAGATGTAGAGCTCGCTTGACATATGCTTGCAGGATTTCAATATATTCAGCTCTTATTAGTAAAGTGCGTTAAACTACATAGTACTCCTCTTCTTCTAAACTTAGTGTTAAATTTCGAATTCATGACACCAAATTACCAATATGAACGTCATAAGGCTGCTTTGTATTGGAACTCCATTTAGTTTCTATAATCAGATAAGATCAATAGTCCATTGAATAGAAATTAATTGACACCGAAAAATATAATTATACAACAACAAAAACGGTAGAAAAAATGTAAACGGGACAAGACTTACGTGTTGGTATTCAAGTTCTCTTCAAACTAGCGCCCACCGAGGTCATACTTTGAATGGATATTGAATCATGTTTGGGAACATTAGAGAAACAATCCAAAATCTTCCTTCGATCTTCATCAAAACTTTTTTTTTTCGCCCCTTGCTTCAGCTATATCAGAGTTTGTTTTTCAATATGAATATTAAGTAAGTCACCTTCCTGAAAGCATTCCTGATTAAGATTAAGATTCAAAGTACATAAATTAAATCTATGATCTTACTACGTTCCAAAAAGGATTTTTATGAAAAAAAGTCATATGATCAACCTATTTCCATGGCCTAGTTTAAAATGCGACAAGATTTCATTGGTATTTTTAAAAATAATTTTATTCGACACTACATCCCTCTTATAAAATCTTCTTTTTAGTGAAGTAGCAAAATTCATAATTAATTCAGAGCTGATAAAGCTTTCTGAATCAAATTGGTAGAAATGTGAAACTAATTTTGTTTTGCTGCAGTTTTCTTATACTAATCTTTCAACATAAGAACTGACACTTTCAGAGTGTATTCACTTAGCTTCAGATAGACTACATGCGACACTTTTACATCTTTTTAACATTCAGTTAGATTTATACTTAACATTCTAGCGAACTCGACATCTTCCTCAACTAAAATATAGAAAATGCATTCAAAACAGCAGTCGTCTTTGTGATTCTATCCACATCCACAGTCACACTTCACATCCACAACCACACCCACACCCCGGAAAAAAGAACGACAAATGCTTCTCTCTTTTTACTTCGACTTTGAATAATACGCAGCACATATTGGATGGAAAAGAAAATAATCAGTTTTAAATAAGTTGCTTATTTCTTTTTTTAAAGAGTGACTAAGATACCGAAAAAAAGGAATCTTATGACATTGTTAACTTTGTTCATTCGCTATTTAATTCGTTGATTTTTCTAGTAGAGACACACTGTTTCGTCTACTTGTAAAAGGTTAAAAAGAACAGCACCCAGATTAGTTTTATTCCTGAATTCGGTTAGACTTGAAAAATTTATTTTGATATTTTTACTTTCCGATGAACATTAGCTTTACCGATTTTCTGTCTCGTTTTCTCTTTTTTTGAATATTGCTAACAGAAACTTCTGTTACAGTATGTATGAATTCGATGAAGAAAAACATGAAGAAAGTTAAATAAGCGTTGAGGATATTTTTTTCTTGAAGATGAAAAAGGTCTATCGTTTGAGTTAAAAACCCAACGTTATAAGAGTGTATTCATTCTTTTACTATGATTCTTCTTTAGAAGAAAACAGTTAAGGATATGGATGGGTAGAAAGAAGAAAGACCCACACCCACGCCCTTATTGAGTGTAAACGAAAAAACAAAATATTCATAATTTTCGCCGAAGAAAAATTTAGAAAAAAAAACAACGTGCATGACATATATAAATACACAAGGTATACCCAATTCTCAATAGCCATTTACTTCTAGCACTAAACGTTTACCCATCACGTACAACCTATTTTCTTGAAAATGAGTCAACAAACAAGACGACGCTTTGTCGAAGATTACTTGCTAATCTGGGTTGACGAAAATATTGATATGGCCAATGAAGATTGCAAAAACAAAATTGCACAATTGCGCACTATTGTGAATGAGATAAAAATATGTACGACATCCGAAGAATGTATTCAACAGCTGAATGAAAAGTCTGAAGAGATATCATTTGTTATATCCTCAGGCTCACTTGGACCACATGTTGTACCAAGCATTCATGACATGATAAAATTAAATGCCATATACATACTTTGTGACAACCAGCCAGAGCATGAAATATGGTCAAAAACTTGGGCTAAAATTAAAGGTGTCCATACATCCATCAAAGGAATATGTGACGCATTGCAACTGTTTATCAAACAGTGCAATAAGGATAATATATCAATTAGTATTATCAATGCGCATGAAGGAGGTTCTAGCGAAAATTTGAATCAGCTAGAACCTACTTTCATGTATTCACAAATATTCAAAGAAATACTACTCGAAATAAAACATGATGAAAAAGCTGTTCAAGATTTGGTCAAGTATTGCCAAGAAGAATATAAAGACAATGCTAAAGAACTCCAATTTATTCACGAATTCCAACAAACTTATCAAGCATCGGAAGCCATACAGTGGTATACAAGAGAATGTTTTACATACAAAATGTTGAATGCTGCACTAAGAACACTCAACGGTGATATTATGATACGAATGGTTTTTTTTTTATGTGATGTGCATCGACAGATTCAAGCTATGTACAAGAACCAGGTCAGTGATTACGGTGACAAAATTTTTCAAGTCTTTCGAGGACAACGTCTATCGAAAATTGATTCTGAAAGTCTCGCAAAAAATAAAGGCGGGCTCATTTCTTTTAATAACTTTTTATCTACCAGCGCTAAACGAGATGTCTCACTCAAATTCATTAAGCAAGGTTCAAGCACACCCGACCAAGTCGCTATACTTTTCATCATTACGATTGATCCCACCGTTTCAACGACTCCATTCGCCTCCATTGACGAGATAAGCGAGATAGCAGGCGAAGACGAAATTCTTTTCTCCATGCACACAGTTTTTCGAATTGGTGAAATTCGTGAAATCAACCACGACAACCTATACTACGAAGTAGATCTGAAACTGACCCCGGAAGATGATCCGGAACTTACCAAATTATCTAACTTCATACGCAAAGAGGTAGACGGCACTGGATGGTATCGATTAGGAAAACTCCTGCTCAAAATTAGTCAAGTCGACAAAGCGGAAGAATTATTTACAGTGCTGCAAGAGCAGGCAGCCGACGACAGCGAACGAGCCCATATCTATCGCCAACTCGGATATGTGAAAACCAAGCAAGCACACCACGACGAAGCAGTTAAATTTTATGCAAAAGCTATCGGAATTGATGAACGGGATGCTCCGGAAGACAATCTCAATCTGGGCGCGTCGTACAGCGGCATTGCTATAGCATATTACAGCATGGGTGATTACTCGATAGCACTTCAATTTTACGAAAAAGCAAACAGAATCGCAGAAAAAGCTCTACCTCCGAATCATCCTGATTTCGCTACTTCATACAGCAACATCGGTCAAGTATATAACGACATGGGTGACTACTCGAAAGCACTTGAATTTTACGAAAAAGCAAACAGAATCGCAGAAAAAGCTCTACCTCCGAATCATCCTGATTTCGCTACTTCATACAACAACATCGGCGGAGTGTATTATCACATGGGTGACTACTCGAAAGCACTTGAATTTTACGAAAAAGCACATAAAATCAAAGAAAAAGTTCTGCCTCCAAATCATCCTGATTTGGCTACTTCATACAACAACATCGGTCTAGTGTATAACAGAATGGGTGACTACTCGAAAGCACTCGAATTTTACGAAAAAGCACAAAAAATCCACGAAAAAGCCCTGCCCCCGAATCATCCTGATTTGGCTATGTCATACAACAACATCGGTCAAGTGTATAACGACATGGGTGACTACTCGAAAGCACTTGAATTTTACGAAAACGCACATAAAATCAAAGAAAAAGCTCTGCCCCCGAATCATCCTGATTTGGCTATGTCATACAACAACATCGGTCAAGTGTATAACAACATGGGTGACTACTCGAAAGCACTTGAATTTTACGAAAAAGCACATAAAATCAAAGAAAAAGTTCTGCCTCCAAATCATCCCAATTTGGCTACTTCATACAACGAAATCGGTGTAGTGTATAACAGAATGGGTGACTACTCGAAAGCACTCGAATTTAACGAAAAAGCACATAAAATCCTTGAAAAAGCTCTGCCTCCGAATCATCCTGTTTTGGCTACTTCATACAACAACATCGGTCTAGTGTATAACGACATGGATGACTACTCGAAAGCACTTGAGTTTTGCGAAAAATCAAATAAAATTCTAGAAAAAGCTCTGCCTCCGAATCATCCTCATTTGGCTACTTCATACAACAACATCGGTGGAGTGTATGAGAACATGGGTGACTACCCGAAGGCACTTTCATTCTTCGAAAAAGCACTGATTATCCGACAAAAATCACTTCCACCTAACCATCCTGATATCATAAGTGTCACAAGTTCAATTGACAATGTAAAAAAGAAAATCTAATTTGTTTTTATATTTTTTCTTCATTCTTTAATAAATTGATTTGAATTGCTATTGAAAAATATTTTTTGTTCTGGTTGTTTGCGGGTCATTTTGGCTTACGCGCGCGCGACAAGGAAGAGATCCTTGTGTGAGATTTGCTATAGATACCACAGGCGGACCACGCCGGACTGGTAGAGCAATAGCCGAAGGTATGCCATATATATATACGGTAGAGACCTACGACTCATGACGGTCTTCCCTAGTGCTACACTGCTTTGCTTTAGCAAGAATCTATCTGACCCGCGATGATAATTATAATAACTCAACTCAATCTCATGTCTCATTCTCAAACTCAATCTCAAAAAAAGAAAAAAATTTTTTTATCTTACTGCTCAATGTTGTTTTATAACGAAACTCATCTAAAAAAGAAAAAAAGAGAAAAAACAAATATTTTAAAATATTAAAAAAAAATTATAATACCTCATATTTAATGTAATATAATAATAATAACAGTAATAATAATAATATAATAACCCGGGTATTGAATAACATTGTAACGCATTGTAATGATACAACTCGAGTGTATTGACTCATCATCAAGTATTCATGTTTTTATATCCTCTAAGGTTAATTGTTGAATATTGAAAAGTTTGATTGATTTCTTATCAATCATTTCACGTCGTACCACTACATAATTGATTTGATGATCAATTTTATGTAATTATGTGTGAATATTTTATTTGTAGTTGATTTTCTTATTTTCGATTTTTGAATACATTTTAAAAGTGATATCATTCAAAACTTTTCTATATATGAGCCAGTTCGCATAAGCGACGACCGATTACCATAGGAGGTGCTCAATCGAGGTCGTCAGATTTTGCTCAATTTTATACATATTGTAGAGGCAAGAGTTCTATGAATTTTGACGCAAGCCGTTTGAAAAAATCTTGTTCCGTTCCCAAGATATTGAAACTTTTCTGAGAGCACCCTCATCAAAAAAGTGAATTTTTTATGATTTTTTGTGACATCTATATCTCATGAAGGAGACATGCATTTGNCGGGAAAAATACAGATGATGTTTGGTTCTGTATTACGCATTCAATGATAAAAAGAAATAAATGGATAAAATTCAGTTGAAAATAGATTTTATATATTCTCTGAAGTAACAACTCTCCCATCTACCTTAATAAATCTTTGTGCATAATTTGTATTCATTTTTCTTCTAGTAGGCGCATCACAGAATGAGAGAAAAAGAACAAATTGATATAGAAGAATGGTGAAAAAAAAAAAGACTGTCGTTCAATATGAATGAATCTTACTGTAAAGAAAGCGGTCGGCACTACTTAAATGATGGTGCATTACTGTATGCTCGATGATAGGCGAAGAATTCACACAACTATGAGCTCTATCTTTTAAGAGCAGAACGAGCAGAATAAAATATAGATATATGAATATATATATATGTATATATATTTGTACATACGTATACTTCTCTTTTCTTTAATATGAATATCATAAACAAGTAATATTCTTATCTTATATTTAAAACAGTGTGCGAATAGTTTCGACGATTGTCAATAAATTTAAACCAATGAGTATCTATCGAAATGTTAAATGTGTTGTAGTAGGCGATGGTGCTGTCGGCAAAACTTGTCTACTTATGTCATATACTACAAATGCTTTGTAAGTCTTTTTTTTTGTCTTTTTGTTGCTTTAAGTTTCTTTTATTTTATATTTTTGTTTCTAGCCCAGGAGAATACATCCCAACAGTGTGAGTTAAATAACACTGAAAATTCATTGATTTATACTATCTTATTATATAGATTCGATAATTATTCAGCGAATGTAATGGTGGATAATGAACCTGTCAATCTCGGTTTATGGGATACGGTAATTATTTTTATCATATTTTGTTTTTGATTACATATGATTTGTTTTTCTTTTTCTTCTAGGCTGGTCAAGAAGGTAGATGATTATTAGATAAAAGAAAATTATGAAATATTCTTAGTTTTATTATTTTTAGATTACGATCGTCTTCGACCATTATCTTATCCTCAAACTGATGTATTTCTCATTTGTTACAGTGTAGTTAATCCAATATCATTTGATAATGTTCGTGCAAAATGGTTACCAGAAATAAAAAATAATAATGCCGATACACCAGTCGTTCTTGTTGGTACAAAATTAGATTTACTTGATGATAAAAATACGATAAATAAACTTTTAGTAAAAGAAAATTTTTATTTTATTTTATTTTTTAAATATTTTGAGTTTATATTTCTATTAAATTAGGCTCGAAAATTAACACCAATTAGTGCACAAAAAGGTATCACGATGGCAGAAGAAATTGGTGCAGTTGCTTTTATTGAATGTTCAGCATTAACACAAAAAAATTTAATACGAGTTTTTGATATTGCTATACGAGCTGGTTTAGGAAAATATCCAAAAATGAAACAACGTAAAAGACATAAATGTATTTTATCTTAATATTATATGTATTTTTTCAAGAATATTTTTTCGATCTTGTGTATTATCTGGATATCTTTGAAGTGTCTAAGTATTAAAAGAAAAGTTTTCTTATTCTACAAAAAAAAATTAATAATACAGTAAAAATTTTCAATATTAATAGTATCTGCAAGTTGTTTTGATTTGTGATAGTTGAAAGTTAATTTATAACCTATGATAACAAAAAAAGATATTGGATTGATTTAGTTTTGATTTTTTTTTGTTTGAGTTCGAATGAATGTGATTATGTTAGAATAATTTCTTATTCGATTAATCTTTTAAGATCTTTCAGATATCAATAAATGAAGTGTAAATTTTGTATATTTAGATAAGAAATCAGATTTGCAGTAATTCGTTATCCAGAATTGATCAGATACAAAACCGTAATTTGTACGACGAGAGAAACAAATCAAATTTAGTTTATAGACTTCAATAAAACTAGAAATGCTCATGCTTGTAGATCTTCATTTCGAAATAATATGATTATTTAACTAATATTCTAACTTATAATGGATGAACCAGAATGAATAGTCGCGCTTTATATTTTATTTTTTGATCATCTAATATGTTGTATCAAAAACAAAATATACGACGAGATGCAGAAAGAAAAGCTCTACAATCTATAATACAATGTTTGTTTTATACATGCCCCTTTAATTTTCAAAATAAACAAAGGGTGATACACGACGAATTCATTTTCTTATTTCATCAATTGATGAATTACAGTTTCTAATTTTATTCCATTGACTACGTTTCGTCATTATTTAGCAATTTGAACCTATGTCATGCCATCATCAATCATTCACATAACCACTTATCGTATATATTCAGATGTCATTTCTTTTGATTGACTGGATACACTTATACAGATGTGATTTGTTATTATGAAGTTCGTATGTTCCTTCAACAAAACAGCATCAAGGTGAAAGAAATATAACCAATACACATATCAATAAGTCTAAAATTAGTTAACGATTGCGGCCTTCGATTTGACTTATTATTTGAAGAAATAAGAGAAGAAATTCGTCGTATAAGAAAAAGATAATCTTTTCTCAGCATCGAAATCTGATCACACAAAATTTTTGTCTATTTTGAAAATTAATGGTGTATATATAACAATGGTCTTGTACTATAAAATGTTTCACACTGCATCTTGTAGTATATTTTGTTTTTTAATAAAACGTATTAGATAATGAAAAACTAAAATGCAAAACGCGGTCGTTTATTCTGGCTTGCTCATGAGATATGTTTAATGGTTTGTTGAAATTCGCTTAATGAATTGTTTATTCTCAAAATATTAAATATTTTTAAAAAATCTCGTAAAAATCAAGTTTTAGTTAAGAATGAAAGTTTTATTTTTGACTTATGTATCCGCAACATCATCTTTTTTTGTTATAGTCGAGATCTTTCTAGTCTGCGTCTTAACATGTTTTTCTTTGATTATGATAATCAGCTTATGTGCATTCTAGTCTTATTTTATGGAAAAACACAAACATAAATGAGTTATTGTTTTTTATCTGATTGTATTTCGTACATCGATGGAGCTTAAAATAATTCTCTGACACAGTTGATATTTTCAAGATATCTTATTGTTATATTGTATTCTATTTAGTCTTGAATATATTTCTTTTTCTATATGCTCACTTAGACAGGAACGAGAATATTCTGTTCGTATGTAAAATAATCGAGAAAACTCGCACTTATGTTTAATCATGTAGCAAACATTGAATTCATATTAGTTTACGATGTGCATCCGACATTATAACCCATTGAGTCCTTTGCAGTCAAGGTCAATTTACTCAAGCTTTGTACTCGAACACTTAACCTATGCTTATTGGTTTACGTATCAACAAATGTTTTGTTTTAAAATTCTAATTCTTGTATATTATTTTATATATTTCTTTTCTTATATTAACACTTCAAACATCCAACTGTTCTAAATAAATATGGATTGTGGCAAAAGAAAGTCAGTCATTATTGAGAGAGTTCATATGACTTCACCAAAAAATGATATTTAATCTCCGAAAAAAAAACTTCCTTTAATTCGTAAAAAACTATGTTTGACCCCAGGTCATGTCAATCTATACACCAGTCGCACTACTGACTAGTCAGCTGGGTACATATCCAGTGTTCTTGAACTAATCTCTGTTGATGCTTGTTCTATGACAATTGATTAGAGTTTATGTTGGGTTGGTATCAGACTTAATCTATTACTAATGAACCGGTATCCAGGTAACTAGTGCACACATAACGGATTCGAGTTGGGTCTTGAAAAATTGATCGATGTCGAACACTGTTAATAGTTAGGACAAGGATTATATGTTTATATCTTGTCTTCAATACAGTAGGTTTAATTCAAACAATTTGTGCAAAATTACAAAGGTTTTCAAGAGAACCCAGTTTTTATCGCTATCAAAATGTTCCACTACTGTAATATAAATAAGTGGTGTTGGTATTTATTGATAATAATGATATTATGTGGATAAGAAGTAACGAAAAACTAGAACAATAAAAAATACGAGAACTAAAAATATTTATTTTATTGTAAATATGTGTTATGTTTTTTTTGTGAGTTTAAATGAAACAATCGAATGTTAATCTTATCTATCGGTACCTGTTAGTATGGTTTTTAGTCCGAAAAATCGAAATTGTTCACACATAGTTCAGAATATAATCAATATTGTTCTTGTTTTCCAGTTCTAAGTAAGAGTAAATTGTTTTGTTTGACCGCATCTTTTTTATATTTGACTTCTGTGTTGGAAAAAGTAGGATTTCACACCGTAGTCACTTTTTTGTTTTAGATTTATTTTAACCATCATCCTACTAAAACAGTGCTAGAAAATGAACAGAAACACATGTTGAAATTCTGCTTAAATAAAAGTTGAGCACAAACATCGATTTTCATTTGAAACCACTTCAATTTGTGTAGTTCTTTTAATTACAGAGTATTAGTGATTCTCATGAAACCTTAAAATATTCATCAGTAACTCGTCACTCCACTCTAGTTCGATGTAATGAATTGATATTTTTATGGGAAAAGTTCATTAGAATGGTAACTCATCTCTGAAAATTTCAGTGTGCGGATAATTATCTTATATTTTTGTTCCCAGTCACAATTTTACATATGCACAGAGTATATTCAGTGCTTCTAAAACACATCGGTAACTCATGTACTAGAGAGATTATTAAGATGGAAAGGTGTTTACAGAAGAGTATGAGCAAGAAAGAGAGAAAGCTTGATACTTTTATTGACAGTCACATGTATCAGAAGAACTAAATTTTTTATATCAAGAGTAGCTGTGAGTCTTAGCAGTGAAATAAGCGAGAATACACTTGTTTTATTTGTCAGTTATTGTTCTCTCTTCTCTTCAGCTTTTTTCCATCGCGAAAGACAATGCTTCTTCAAAGGCAGTGAAAGCCTTCATGAGAGTAATTGTGTTAAAGTAATCGGTAAGATGGCGGCTTATCCATGATTTTTTTATGAAGAAAAAGGTGCAGTAATAGAAAAGTTCAACATCGAAACATTTCTGTACTGTGCGGCAACACACTAAAGCCCTTGGGATATAATCTCTCTTATCTCGCAGTGCAAAACACAATAAAACTGCTACCTGGCGATGGATTGACGCGATATGTGTTTTTATTCTTTTACATTCGAACCCAAAAGGATAACAAAAGATTAATAAAGGATGATCAGCAGATATACAATACAAAAAACAATCAGCAAATCCATTTTTAAATATTGTTGCATCAATTACTATTTGCCTAAGATTTTAGATGATAGTCAGTTGTAATAATAATGATTGAAACAAAAAGAAACCACAATCACTTGTCATTGTAATCACCATGTTGCTTCTGTTCGTTCTTTCATCCTTCTATGTTTTAACACGAACAGCTCAGATTGATCAAACAGATTTCACGACTACTTTTACTACGAACAAGTGAATAGTTTCATAAAACTGTTGATATCTGACAATTTTTAAGATCAATTTAGATTGCCATGGAATGGCTCTGTGCTCGACTATCGTATGATGCCTTATATTGGTAATGGTCATGTAGCCACCGTCGTCTTTAGTGATTTCATCTATATGAATGGTCTCTACAATGGTGAAAATGGTTAGCTTTGTTTCTTTCCTACTCTTCAAATTTTAACTCATCTGAGATAGGTACAAGTCATCGAGCTCGAATTCCAAGTACACTCAATTGGCAATTTTTAATTAATCCATCATTATCGTCATTCACACTTAATGTTTCATCAGGTACAAATTTCTATTGAGAAAAAGAAGATTACTAATCTAATTTAGGTACATTTATTGAGACACTTGAAAACGATGAAGTTCGAATTGAACAACGTATTTTCGCATCACAAGAATACACTGAATTGTTAATCTCACATGTTGTACTCACTCGACTGGCACTCAAAGGTTAGATTATCAATGTAAAAAAAATGCCTCTTGAACTCATTCTCTCTGTAGGACGCAAAATTCTTGTGCCCACCAGAGTAAACGAACAAGTGACCAGCGATGATATCGATTTCGTGGTCTCAGCTCATAATAATCAATATGTGTAAGTATTATGTTCATTCTTTCAAAAAACATTTAACTTTCATGTTGCTTTAAATAAGACTGCTTTCGGGCAAGACTCGTCAAGTGGAGAATAGTCAATTTCAACAAGATCCATTATCTGTATTCGTTTATTACACGCCATTACCTGTAAACGGTTTTGAACTTGATGCACAAGAAACAAGTCGAACATATCTTTTTGTTACTTCAATCGACAGTGAACAGACAAGAGCTAAACAAAGTTTTGACTATGGTAGGTCAAAATCAATATTTGTTGATTTATTTGAATGATTGAAATCGAAGTTACATCGAGTTAATCAATGTTAAAAAGAAGACACAGAATTTTGAAGTAGATAGCAATGACTATGACAAGCACTTGAGTATTATATTCATACTTGTTGGATGCCCTTTCAAATAAAATGAAAAGATTTGTCAGATAGAAGAGATGGGAACATTTCATACGTACAATTAAACAATAAAATTGCGGATGTATTGTTGACACTTATTTTTATGCTTCTATGATAATATTCCTCAGTTTTCTGAAGTTTGTGCTACTTGCTTTCGTGTACTTTATCAAACTTTACACTGACATATTCTTTTCATGATAAAAATGTTTCTTGTAACTAGCTTCCAATGAACGTCACCCGAATCAGATATGGTCATCACATGTATCTCTATGGAATGATGTTTGGTCAAATGGACGTATTGAAGTTAATGGCGACGATGAATTGCAACGACAGATCAATTCTGCTTACTATTATATACTCAGTTCTCTTCCACCACTGTCCACTAGAAGCGAGCACAAACAATTCTATGGTCTTAGTCCAGGAAGTCTTTCACGTGGTGGTCTTGTATTCAAAGATTACGCTGGTCATTCATTTTGGGATACCGAAACCTGGATATATCCATCGATTCTTCTGTTCTATCCCACGTATGAAACTAAGTCTTCGCATGAGATATTTAGAGAAAACCTTTGAGACAGACAGACTAATTGTTTCTTTGAGTCATTGCTCTCTATTATTTTATTTAAAATGTGGATGAATATATTCAAAAAAAATATTATTGACAAATAGAAAATCTCAGCATTTACATCGACTATTCATAGAACTTCTGATAATTTGTCTCTCTTTCTCTTAGCTTGGCCAAAGAAATACTTTCATATCGTATTGCTCTACGTGATTCAGCTGCTGAAAATGCTCGTTTACTAGGTTATGAAGGCTGGAGGTAGAATAGAATTTATATTTTTCTTATTATACGACTTGTCATTACCAAGATTTCCATGGGAGAGTGCACGAACCGGAGTCGATGTTACACCAGATGGTTATCTTGATATTGCTCTCTATCAACAACACATCACTGGCGACATTTCGTTTGCCGCGAGACAGTATATCGCTGTAACAGGTGATCAAAAATGGTTAATATCTGAACATGGCGGAGATCTCATCTATGAGACTGCTCGATTTTGGGCATCAAGAGTTGTGTACAGTAATGAGAAGAAACAATATGAAATATTGAGTGAGTTTTATCTGTTCTGGATACATTGTCAAATTGAGTTTGTGCAGCCGTATTGCCACCTGATGAAGATGCACGACCATTCAAAAACAATTCTGTATTTACGAATGCAGTTGCTTCATATTCTATTCAATTGGCTGATCGAGTCAGTTGTATCACCAAAAAAGCTGTACCTCAAACTTGGCTTGATATTGCATTCAATTTATATTTTCCTTTTGATAATCAAACTCAAACTCATCTTGAATATGACGGATTCGATTTGAGTAAGTCAATGTATGCACACATTTCTTTCTTTTTTTTTTCGACAACAATATTATACAGAGAACACAATTACTAAACAAGCTGATGTTGTTCTTCTTGGATTTCCTCTGATGTGGCCAATGAGTAAAGAAATACGACGTAATGATCTATTGTCCTATGAACCATTAACTCGTGATAGTGGACCGGCTATGACATGGTCGATGCATACAATTGGATTTCTTGAATTAAATGATTTTGAAAAAGCTCAACGACTGTTTCGACGTGCTTATGAAATTTATGTTCGACCACCGTTTAATGTTAGTCGGTTATTCTCCTCATTTTGATCCATCTAATCTTGTATTTTAGGTATGGACCGAGGCGCAGGATAGTATAGGTGCTGTCAATTTCATCACAGGTGCTGGGGGCTTCTTGCAAGCTATTATTTTCGGTTATGGTGGCCTTCGTCTCAGATTAGATCACCTTGAGGTGATGCCGCCACCTCGTTTGCCTAATCAAGCTAAAAAGCTTATTTTTCATGGTCTCAAATATCATGGAGCAATACTCGATTTGACAATTGACAACCAGATATATCACCTTGATGTGCGTATGATAAATAACAATGACTTCATGCCTCTCGTATACGAATATGAAGAGCAACAATTTCCACTAATGAACAACAGTCGTCTCTCATACCGTATTAACACTCGTCTTGTCATTCGCCCATCAACACGATTTTGTGCTTGACTAGCTTTTTCTACTGATTTTATATGCTAATAAAACTTTTTTCTCCGCATGAAATGAAAATGTTAGAAAAGAACTCATGAAATAAGAACAGATGGGTTGATGATTAGATGTCTGGATATCGCTGAGGATCTTGTTGTCACAAATTCATCCCAGCCACACGAACTTGCCTTGAAATAGATGAGCAAAATCGAAAAATCTTGACGAGTAACGAAACATGTGTACAAAAAAATTTTATATTTTGTTCTCGAACACGATCAAGAAATCATGATGAGAATTCTATTAAATCAAAGGCTATTACAATCGAAGCAAAATAGTTTTAGTAAAAAGGATTTGTTTGAAAAAGGAATCTAGACTAAAGAGAATCATAGGAACACTATAAGCATAGAACTTGAAGAGTTGGTTTAATTGAATAAGAATTATTTCAAACGAGATCATTGCCCTCACATCTGTTTAATACCATTGTCACGAACTATTTTTAGGTTTATGAGAGTCATCTATCCTTTCACAAACCTCTTCTGTTCATAACCCGTAACAAGGACATTTTTTGCCTTTTGGTGAAAGTTTATCAATGCACATTTTAAACCCAAACGTATAATAAAAGGCCCTTTACTAAAGGGTTTATCGACTCATAAAATTGTATAAGGTTATGTAAGTTCGCAACGAACTAAAGAAACCCTTGTTAAAGTTTAGGAACAGAAAAGATTTATCCTAGGAAAAAGCGAAACGGTTAGAAAACAAATAATGACGGTGGATAACTATTAATTAGTTCTAAATCAGGTGTGGAAATAAATTGAATTCTCTCTGTCTGCGAGTCACTTTCTACACAGGCTCAGGCCTTCCTAAACGTTCAAGCATTGAATTTAAAAGATCTATGTATGAAGAAAAAACACTAATTCTACAATTCGAGCTTTCCTGAAAGATTGTCACGATGAACTCCTTACTATGTCAGCTTTATTGCCTTCCTGTATCACTGTCACATAGTTATACTTTATTATCTGTTAATCTATTTAAAACTATGCAATAAAAGCTTTTCCGTGATTCAAATGCGAAAAGTTACATGAAATATAAGACAATTTTAATTATATAGTTTGAAATAGGTTAACAGATAATAAGTTCTAATCAATATGATAGCATTTTACGATTACAACAAAATAAAAACAGTTAAGAAAACGTCATGACAATCTCTCGAAGGATCTTGAAGTATAGAATCGTTGCTTGTTCTTCACATACATTGTTTAATTTAAAAACATAAACGTGTAAAAATGCGTTTAAGTTGTTAAACAATTTCCAAATCTTAAAAAACGCATCGAAATATACGGCAGGAATAACATCATAAATTTGAGTATCTCCAGTAGTTATTATGGTTTAGAATTTTAAGTAATTCAAAATTCCATTGAAGCCGTTAACACGTTTGAAACTCTTGAGAATGTGATTTTTTTTTGTATATTTTTGGTACGCTTTCGATATTTTATGCTTTTTAACGCGATTTTTATTCAAATTATCTGCGTAGGCAGGTTAAAAGAGAATAAAACTGTAACATATTATTTCTTGAAGAAATGTATGTGACATACACTACGTAGAATGGTCCATACGTTTATTATTTAATAATAAGTCTTTAGTCAAGTCAGAGAAAAAAGGTAAGAAAAGAAAAAAAAAGCTAGAGAAGAGAGAAAAGAAAAAAAAGAATAAATTCAGGTAGTACATTTATTTATACATTCGATAGAAATTGTTCGATAACTTGACATTCTTAAGCTATCGACAATACTTAGGCTATATGCGAAGAGTAAGAGAAAGTTCAAGAAGTAATAAATGTGTCAGAAGAGTGCTCGCAATCACTTTTTGCTGATGCTCAGTCTAATCAATGAATAATTTTCATTTTATTTTTGAGAAGCAGCGATATTTAATTTTCAGCAAGTCGAAATGCTTATCTAGAAAAATGAAAAAAAATTGTCCATTTTTAAAATATAATATATGAATCGAAGTCTTTTAAACAAGTTCTCAAACTTCAGGAAAAATAAAAATTTTAATATTCCACGAAATATTTCTATTGATATATTATGTTTTAAAAATACATGCATTTTCATTTATTTAGATTAATATTTCGACTTGCTCGAAACCAAATAGACTGCTTTTTGAAAGCAAAATATTACAGCACGTGACTAGTAAAACAATAACAATTTTATTCAAAATTACGTTTGACGGAAAATAGTGATATTGGTATGTACGGTGATTAATCTAGCATTTAAACGACAAGAATGTGATTCTTATTTTTTACCTTAAACAATCGTTTATTATGATACTAGAGTAATTACTTTGGATAATACATCACCGTTTAAATGCTGTGATGTTAAATATAGTTTGAAGGATAAAAGAGCATCCTTTCAACTAAATTGGATGAAAGAGTAGTTTACTCTAATAAACTTAAAAAGGATTTATGACAATGGTAACAAGAAGACATGAGAGTGTAGTATTGTACCATTAGTTTTTACAGCTCACACCTTCATCCACCATTTCGTTTGACAATAGCTGAAGTCAGGTATCAGATCTTTATGACATCTTCATCAAGTTCTATGAACTTAAATGGTAATATGGTCAATGAAAGACCATTTAGCGCTTCAACTAGCGAACCATAGATGGAATCAGTAGTGGTGAAGATTTAATATCAGCTACTTTGCTGGTAGACCGGTTGGATACCGGTACACCCTATCTTTTTCCAGCACCTATCAGAAATCATTGTCAAACTTGAACCAGTCAAATTGTATCAACGATGATCGAAGGCAATTGCTTTTCATGTTCTCAGTGCATACCCTTTAGTCCGTTGACCGATTACAGAAATGCAACCATTACCGATGCAGATGTTGGACCGATTGAACCGATATACCGATCGGTCCAGACCGGTACCAATATCGATCGTTCGAAATCCAGATTGGTTCCATCTATGTAGCGAACCAAAACATGGAATGAATAATGAAGGGTCCTATTCTTGATCTATGTATGACTGCAACGGTAGTTATGTGACTGAAAGATAAACATCTACTGTAATAATAACCCACAACTTAACTGTACGCATGTTTTAATTGAAAATTCTACAAGATATCGATAAAACTCATCGCATCTTTTTATATGACAGAATAAAACAATAATATCTGTATGTATGAGGATTCCGAGCAGTGATCAAAATCTACTTTTTTTGTGGGCGTGGGTGCAAATCTTCTATTTACTCACATCTATGTGGTTCAATTTTGGATCCAATTCCTTTTGTAAGGAACAAAGCTGAGAAACTGCTACTAAAGAGAGATGTTTATTTTTCGAACAAACTTTACCGCATTTGGAGATAAATAAGAAAATTCCGGAATATGTATTCTATTCCGGAGCAAAAATACTTTTGTATATTGTTTAACATCTTTTTTTTGTTTTTACAAAACTTCAATAATTCAATAACCACACAGGATAATGATTTGGAATGTTGAGGCTATAGTTTTAGGCGTTCACGACTTAAGCACTCATACATTTTTCAAATAATCGTTGAATTGAAATTATAATGAAAATTTTCATACTATAGCAAACTTATATTCTGTTTGTGAATGGCATCTGGTAACGTACTAGTCCAATGCGCTTACTACTTGTATTAATTGTAATTACAATCAATTATATATTGTATATAGAGAATTTTAAAGGCTACAGTAGTATTTTTAAATTATTTTTAAACTTTGGTTCCATAATGGGCAATGACGTTATTGTTCAAAAAGGAACCTAGAACCAACAGTTAGAATAAATATTTTAATGACTTTATGGGAAGAGTAAGGATTTTTTTTTTAAACTATGCTTTTCGAATCGAAATATTTTCTATCATGAGTATACTATTTATCTTAGCTTTATAGTCACAGAAAATTTCAAGACAAACACATCTTTTAGTGAGACATTCATTTTGTTCGATACAGATATATTGTTCCGAGACACATTTAGTATTTAGTTAATTATACTTTTGTCTTTGATTATAATGGGATGATGTCAAAATCAAAAACTCTATCTACTGCTATTTTTTTTCTAGAAAATTTTGATTAAAGATCAAATGTTAAACATGCAGAAAGATGATTATAACAAGGAGTAGTTTTTTTGGATCACGCTCTACTATCATGAACAACCGAAGAATCTTATACTCATATGTTTAATATCTTCTTTCGCTCTAGACTTGCATTGAGTATACACATAAGTTTGTAACAATAACGTCATAAATGTCAACTCTTTTCCATTTCAAATACATGAAAGTGTAACAATATGGTATATAAATTTAAAATAAATTCGACATTTACGATAACTAATGGAGAAAGGAATCTAGTGCCTTATAAGAAATCGATTGGCGACGAGTAACAACCATTCTTCAATCAATTATCGATGAAAAATGAGCGAGAAATGACATTTTCTTCGATCGATACCTGCTTACAAAATAATTGTTACTCCTTGCCAATCAATTTCGTGCACCAAGCTTTTTCTTTTTCGGGTTGATTCTAATTTATGTCAATGGTAAATACATATAACAGTCATTCATATTCGTATACTTTGATGCACTCATTCTATTATTTCACTAACATGCTCACATAGATATTTTTCCCATGATAAATATGACAAAATCTATGCCCGCTTCAAGCTGATCCTGTTCGGTTATTTGCCGAGCGATATACAAGCTTGTGAAAATGCCAGGTAAAAAATTTGTATTTTTTCCCTAATATACATACTTCAGACTAACGTCACTATTACATTTTAGAAAGAAGCATTGATACCGAACCTAATAACGAGCATTAACTATGCGTGAGACTAGCAGATGTAAGTTCAATTTCACTCTGTGCTGCAATCATCCCAATCACCAAGATCCACGACTATCTATTCTTCGTATATGATCTCATGTTGTTATCTCAGCTAGTTGATCGTTCCTGGCGAAAGCTGTCTATCAGCATCTCCAATTAATATTATATTCAAGCATTGGCTAGGAAAACCTTGAC